GATGATGATGGATGATGATGCTGATGCTGATGCTGACGGTGATGGTGCTGTTGATGCTGATGCTGATGCTGATGATGCTGATAATGATGATTATGCTGATGGTGATGCTGATGCTGGTGATGGTGATGATGATGATGCTGATGACGATGATGATGATGATGATGATTATGATGATGATGATGATGATGATGATGATGATGATGATAATGCTGATGATGATGATGTTGATGACGATGCTGATGATGGTGATGATGGTGATGATGTTGCTGATGCTGATGAATATGATGGTGAATATCATGATGATGATGATGATGATGATGATGATGATGGTGATGATGATGATACTGATGATGATGATGATGATGATGATGATGATGATGATGATGATGATGATGATGGTGGTGGTGGTGGTGGTGGTGGCGATGATGATGATGATGATGGTGGTGCCGGGTGGTCTGCAGATGGGGTCGACGAACGCAGCACATTCGGGACACCGTAGGCGCCCTTTAAGGATCTTGTGTTGCTTTGCACCTGTTTGAACAGGTTCAGCGCGGAAAGCACTGGAAACGACGCGCGCGAAGCACTTGGCATTATCAGGCTAACAGAGCAACGTCAGACTCCGAGGGGTTGCGCGGCGACACCACGGCCGCGTGCGCGCGGCCGCTGTGCCCCTCCACAAGTGGATGCACTTGTCCTGGTTTTCTTCATTGGGTGCAATGCAGCATTTGGGCCCCTTGAGATACATGTTCGAGCTACGTTTTGCCCCACCGCGGCAGTGTACGGACACTTTCGGGACACTTTCATGCAGTGCAGCTTTTAGCCGCCCGTCTTTTTCGCGCGGCTGCTGCGCGCTCTGTTGCCACGGAAGGTTTTGCGCCGCAAGCATGGGAGAGTCGCCGTCTGAGATGGAGCGTTTAAGTCGAGCAACGTACCATATGTGAGAAGGGCATTCGCCTCGAATTGCCTCGTTTGGGAATGGTGCGCTCTGTCCATCCGCGTCCCCCCATCAACACCCACCTGAGTGATGATGATGTTGACGATGTGACGATGTGGACGACGGCGACGACGACGATGCTGATGATGATGATGATGAGGAGGAGAGGACGATGATGATGCTGATGATGATGCTGATAATGCTGCTGCTGCTTGTGATGATGGTGCTGATCATGGTGACGATACTGAGTAGGATTGTGACTGTGATGATGGTGGTGGTGGTTGTGACGGAGATGATACTGATGCTGATGATGATGGTTATGAGGATGATGATGCTGCTGCTGCTGATGATGATGCTAATGATGATGATGATGATGATGATGATGATGATGATGATGATGATGATGATGATGATGATGATGATGATGATGATGATGATGATGATGATGTTGGTGATGCTGATGCTGATGCTGATGATGCTGATGATGATGCTGATGCTGATGCTGATGCTGATGCTGATGATGATGATGATGATGATGATGATGATGATGATGATGATGATGATGATGCTGACGATGATGCTGACGATGGTGGTGGTGGTGGTGGTGGTTACGACGCCCGCGGTCGAGGACCTCGAGGGGCGCGAGAGCGCCGCCGAGCGGCTCGCGGAGGCGGGGCTCGGCCCGAGCGCCGTGCGGGAGAGCGCCGCGGAGGCTCGCAGGAAGTTTGCACGTGCCTCGGCCCTCCTTCCTTCCTCCGCCTCCCCCTCCTCCTCCTCCTCCTCCCTCTTCTTCTTCTTCTCTCTCCTCCTCCCCCTCCTCTCCTCCTCCTCCTCCTCCTCCTCTCCCCTCCTCCTCCTCCTCCTCCTTCCTTCCTTTCTTCCTTCCTTCTCCTCCTCCTCCTCCTCCTTTTCTCCCCTCCTCCTCCTCCTCCTCCTCCTCCTCCTCCTCCTCCTCCTCCTCCTCCTCCTCCTCCTCCTCCTCCTCTTGCCCTTCCCCTACCTCGCGCGACCCGCGCGAGTCTCGACTCAACTCCTCCTCCTCCCGCTCACCCTCCTGCTGCGGCCTCCCGCAGCAGGGCCGCTCACGGTGTGCCATGTACCAAGCCTCTCAGGGCGGGCCCTTGCCCCACATCCGTGTTTCCGCGCGGTCGCTCGCGCGCCTCGTCGTCATCGTCGGCGTCGGCGTCGGCGGCGGCGGCGTCGGCGTCGGCGTCGGCGTCGGCGTCGGCGCTGGCGTCGTCGGCGTTCGCGTCTTCGTCGTCGTGGTCGTCGTCGTCGTCGGCGTCGGCGTCGGCGTCGGCGTGGGTGTCGTCGGCCTCGGCTTCGGCTTCGGCATCGGCATCGGCGTCGGCGTCGGCGTCGGCGTCGGCGTCGGCGTCGGCGTCGTCGTCGGCGTCGTCATGATGCGTGCAGCTCTTCGCGGGGCGACGATGACGAAGACGAGGAGGAGGAGGGATGGAGGGCTGGGGGATGAGGAGGAGGAGGGGGAGCAGGGAAGGTGGGAATGGGAGAGAGCGCGTTCTGTGGACGCTGGGGAGGGGAGGGGAGAGGCAGGGGTTTCAGAAGCCCACCCCCCTGGAGATTTCGCGGTTTTCCTCGGTTTGGGTTTTTCCTCAGTTTGGGTTTTTCCTCGGTTTGGGCTTTTCGTCGGTTTGGGTTTTTCGTCGGTTTGGGTTTTTCCTCGGTTAGGCCCCCTGGATGCAGGCGGGGCTGGGTTCAGAAGCCCACCCCGCTGGAAGCGGTGCGGAGGGTGGCCAACGAGGGGGTCCGCAGGCGGTCGCGAGGCACTCGTCCAGCCTGTGAGCGCGGGAAAGGGCTGGGCTCGAACCCCTCCCTCCCCCCGTCCCCCTTACCTGCCGCCGGCAAAGAACGCATACGACGACGACCACGGACGGCGACGACGTCAGCGGCGGCGGCGGCGGATGCGGCGCTGGCGCCTGCGCCCGCACAGGGGGGGGGATCGCCCTCCCCCCCCACTTGTCGCTGGCAAACCATCCATCGCCATCGTTATCGACATCGTCGTCATTGTCATCATGAGAATGGTGACGGTGGTGATTCATTTAAACATCATTGGCGCCGATTCTCTGATCGCATACAACATGCCTCAAGTCAAGCGTGATTAGAGCAGTTGAAGCACGATGCGATGTCCCTGAACCTATAGCGGTGCCTGACACACACACACACACACACGCACACGCACACGCACACGCACACGCACACGCACACGCACACGCACACGCACACGCACACGCACACGCACACGCACACGCACACGCACACGCACACGCACACGCACACGCACACGCACACGCACACGCACACGCACACGCACACGCACACGCACACGCACACGCACACGCACACGCACACGCACACGCACACGCACACGCACACGCACACGCACACGCACACGCACACGCACACGCACACGCACACGCACACGCACACGCACACGCACACGCACACGCACACGCACACACGCACACGCACACGCACACGCACACGCACACGCACACGCACACGCACACGCACACGCACACGCACACGCACACGCACACGCACACGCACACGCACACGCACACGCACACGCACACGCACACGCACACGCACACGCACACGCACACAAACACAAACACAAACACAAACACAAACACACACACACGCACACGCATATACGTACACACAACACGCACAGCTTACAACACACACACACAACACACAACATACACAACACACAACCAACAGCACACACAACACACACAGACGTTCACATGCATGTACACATACATGTGGTGGTCTCGCATCCGACGGACCCGAGGATGTCCCAGCCTGAGACCCACGACCTCTGACTTGTGGAGAAGCCGAGGGGATCAATACAGAAAACGAACCCACATTATCTCTATCCCTTTGCCACGCTCTAGCGTGTTGTAAGACTGGGGGTATTGAAACTGACTTGCAAAAAACTCAGATCCCTCGGAACAAGTTTCGACTGGATAACAAGGTAGTGTTGGTCGGACATGTCATGGGAGGGAGGACGAGGAGGGAGAGACGAGACAGGCTCAAGGTTTGTCTCATCCAATGTCCTGAGGTGCGGTCGCGGTCGAGAGACTCGGTGGAACTGAAGCCGCCATCGGAGTTGGACACTTTGAAACTTCCACTGCTGAGACTCAAGTGGTTGAAGAGGCTGCCGACGTAGCATTCTGAAACTCCAATCGGTGAAGAGGCTACCGCAGGATTCTCTAAAGCCCGAATTGTCGAAGTTACCAGCGCACCTGAAGCTCCAATCATTGAAGGAGCTGCTCCACCCACTCCTGCAGCTCTCTCTCCGGGTGTGTGGTTGGCGCTTTCCCATGCTTGAATTTCGCCGTGGTCGTCTGCAGCACCTGGAGCAGGTACAGTGGACGCCCATGCCAAGAAACACCCTGCTATGGTTTTGCTATGGAAAGCGTAACGTTCCCATACAAAATCAATTGACATCCCAGGGGGTTGGGCTTCTTGTGGAAGGTTCCTATTGGTCGAGCTACTACTGTAGGTGCGGCAGGGAGGGTCCCTCACTACGATCGTGAGCCTCTTCGTTTTCCTTCTCGTACGTGCGGTCGACCCTGCAGACGAGCACCAGCTCGCACTGCTGCTCGATGCTGTAGCTGTCGTAGTCCGTGAACATCTTCTCGACGCTGCCTCTCCAAGCGTGCTCCAGCGCTAGCTCTGTTACGGCCAAGAGGGGTCCTACCATCGCGTAGATCTGGTGCTGGTGCTCCGAGTTCGTGTTTTGTTCCTAGCTGTTTGGTCTGGGTGCCGTCGGCGGACGTCTGCTGCCTGATGCGCGCAATAATCTGGCTATGATGGTTATGGTGATGGTGACGGTGGTGGTGGTGATGGTGATGCTGGTGGTGGTCTTGATGATGAGATTGTAGATGACGATGACGATGACGACGACGACGAACAAGACGACGACGACCACGACCACGACCACGACGACGACGACGATGATGGTGATGATGCTGATGCTGATGATGATGCTGATGCTGGTGATACTGATAATGATGATGATGATGCTGCTGATGAT